TTCAACCTCAAGCTTTTTCACTTCAATATCAAATATTATATTTTTCATTTTCGCCACAAAATTGAAAAGGAAAACTGCAACACGTGGTGTCCAATCCAGGAATTTACAAGTGATTTTAACAATTTGATTCTCCGTATTATAAGAAAATAGGAAATTGTGAAAGGGGTCATGATCACTTTTGTTAAAATCGTGAAGAAATGATAATGCATGGACTCCCCCCAAATAGTGATTGAAATAATCTTATTACGAAGAGTAGTTATTTGTTTCCCTTTTTCCTATTCCTTTCTTGAAAGTTCACCCATACTCATTTGGAGGCATAAGCATTTCATTCTAAAAATGTTTGTGCAGCTACAAAAACACTAACCTAAACTTCTTCATTAGGTAAATGAATATACCTTAAATCCAATCCCAAATCTTCCTATATGGTCAGGATCATCAGCTTCAGGCTGCACGTGCCCAAATGATATCATTCTCACAATTTCTTGATGGCTCATCCCATGGCCATCATCTATTATTGACAACATAGGAATATCTTTACCAGCAGTTTTTGAATATAGCATATCAATGCTGATTTCCAGTCTGTAAAACACACAACGTATGCCACATTAATTAACAAAAGTATGTGTTTTAACACAAACAGAGAAAGTAGCACTCACTGGCGACACAACAAACACACAAAAGAAAAATAAAAGGAAATAAAGATATATTGTAAAAAAGAATTACAGTAACTTCGAGATATTATATAAAAACTGGCTGGAGAAAAAGATGGAAAGAAAATGACTTAGAAGGGCATGAGAATGCCAACAATTAATGGAGAATGGAAACTTATACTTAACATCGCCAACATAGACAGAATAAACAAGTAGAGAACAAAAAGATCATATACACCTACTTGGTTGCTTTGGCATCTCTTGAATTGTCAACAAGCTCAGCAATTGCACCAAATATCCAGCCGGAATGAGCTTGACCAAGAGTTTTCAAATAACTAGGATGTGCTATTGCATAATTTCTGCCAGAGGACCTACCACATCCAACAGAATTTCCTGGTCTGCTGCTATCTTTCACCATCATATCCGGAGAGTGATCTGCAATTACTTCAGAAGATTCGAATTCAGGTGAATGTCTATGGCATATCAGGTCATAGTTTGACACAGCACCTTCACCAATAGGACGTGCATGCATAACTTGCACGCTATTTTTCTTTGATTGAATGCTTGGATGCATAGGCCTGCATGCCTCATCATTGTAATCCATACATCTACGCAGTGATGCAATTTCAGCAGCATTGATTTCTGCCCAATAGGCAACAGTATAATGTCAACCCAGCTTTAGTAAAACTACTATACATTACTGAAGCTATGATGTAATTGATAAGGATTTTTATTATCTTATATCTAGCGAAAACAAGGTAGATGCATGTAGGAGCAGATTAAATCTTTTATAATTTATAAATTTGATGGTTGGAGAACATAAGGGAACTTGAGTCCAGTGATTTTGCCCACCCCATCCAACATGCCTTTGACTAGAATACTCATTAGGCACTTTCTCCATCTTGCATATAACAGCTCCGGTGTCAAATTCTGAGTTTTTATCTGGAGGAAGTATATAGATTTCGTAGAATCCAAGCTTTGAGATAGCAACCTTCAAAAAGGTAAAAACAGTAAGAGGAGCACAAAATGTAACTTATTCTCTTAAAAATTATGTTTCTGAAAAAATTCAAACAAAAAGGTGAAACAAAACAAAAGAAAACCACCAGTAAAATGAATTCTAAATGTATCTTGTTCCCTTTAACAAAATTATTTTTCTGAAAAAATTCATACAAAAAGGTGAAAAAAAAATAGTAAAATGAATTCTAGCTTCCTCAACCCCGACCAAGAAAAGAGTACAATAACAATAATAAGATACTTACTTTAGCTTTATTGAACTAAATTATTTTCCCTTGAAATGTAAGGTCAGAAAACTCAAAAGATTAGCAATAAAGAAACATTTAAACAGGGTGTTGTTGTAAATATGCACAGAAGAATTTTACCTTGTTGTACTTCCGCAGAAAATTCAAGAAGAGACCCCACTCTCTTTCCTGATGCGCATTTTCATAACCGGGGCATAGGAGAAGACAAGGTAATCCAGAGAGAGAATTCGTTTTATCTCGCCGAACAAAAGAGGATATGTCCCAAATTAAAGGTCTGTCAAGTAACCCCAGTTAATGAACAGTTGCGAACAATTTGCATCATAGAGCATGTTTGGGAAGTGTTTAGAAACAGTTTACATTATAAATAGATAGAAATGAGTCATGGGTAAGTTAACAATACTTGTAGATCCCTCTAAAAGTGTGAATAAAAAGTAGTTTGAGTGTTTATAAACAATTCATAAATATTAGCCAAAATGCACACCAAAAAAGAAATTACTTCTACTACCAAGGGGGAGATATCAAAGAGGAAAAGAAAGATTTTTCACAGAATTCTATGAAAAACTATGACATGATCCATGCACGAATGTACTTTATGCATATGTGTAACACAAAAATAAAAACATAGTTGGAACTAAAACATATTGCTTGATGTGTTACAGATATTGATTACATACTAATTGTTATAGAATATAACTCTTAAGGTGCCCAAATATTATTTTTCACTCTTAATTACGAACCCATAAGTCTTAATTAATATGCTTACTGTATACAGGAATAACTTTCAAAAATTTTATACTCAAGTCGAAAGGTTAGTAGTTGTTCTGTTTCATCTATGAGGCTATTTCGTGTCTTAATATGTGAAAATGTCTCTACAATGCCTCTGCGTTTTATCACCTGCCTGAATCCTAGTGTTTTGACTCATATGATATATTGACACAGTCTACAGGGCTTAGTATAATTTCATTTCTCATTCAGTCATTCTATGCGCCACTGCCATAAATTATGACATAAGCTGAAGCACTTTTGATCACAGGTAGGCACACCGACTGCAATGCAGGTTACCAACCTAGGTCATGGACATTTTTTATCACCCATGGACCCTGTCCAATTCAATTTCCCATCCATTATCAGGAACTACTGACTACAAGCTAAGACACGAATGCATTACTTGACTAAAAATATGTATAGGTGTATCCGTTTATCTTGCTTGGGTCCAACTCAACGTTATCATCCTCTTCTTCTGAAGAAAAAAGAGATCTTCAACATTCTTATCGTGATAAATTATATATAATTATCCAAGGGTAGAAATCAAAATACATTAACAAAATAAGAGAAGTACATAAGCATTATCGTTAACTTTTGTCATTGACTTTTTACCAGGCATTATCTATAACATTTGGTCTTATATAAAGAGTATGAGAATCATTTAGTTGTTCATTAGTGAATATATCCATCATTTAAGCATAATTAGAAGAAGAACTTACAAGGCAGTCAAATCAGAATGCAGATCTAGAAATATAAACCATAATTTCGATATCAAAATTTAATATGGTAACTAATATGTGACAGCTACAAGTCGTAAGAAGAAATGACTGCATTTTTTGTATATATTTTTGGTTTATTGCAATAAAATCTAACAAGAATTTGATCAGCCAACAGAATTGATAAAATCATAAATTTGCACATATGCACAACCAATTACTCATCAACGTGGCCTACCCCTACAAATGGATTCCTTTGCAATGTTATAAGAACTGGACCAAACTGTTCAACCAAAAAAAAACAAGAACTGGTCCCTTATATGTGAAAACTTGTTAACTTAAGAGTCCATTAAAATAACCACAGAACCGGTCAATTCATGCCCAAACAGGTTGGTAAACCCCCAAAATGTTGCGTTTATTCATTTAAATTTTACCACTGATTCAAGCCTTTGACCTTTGACCCTTGACCCTTGAAGTTTATGGGTCAATGCCTTGACCAGTTTGTATAACATTGTTCATTTTCCTTTTTGTTCACATGTGATTAAATGATGAAATGGGCTCCTTTTAGCTAAATTAATATGTACTCACATAACCAAACCAAAAACACCTGAAATCATTTTAGTAGATTGTGAGCTCCAGCTTAAGTGCTTAATTGATTAAGCTTTCAAGTGCTTACAATTTCAAAGAATATGTGGTAAAAAGTAGATAAATGTTGTGGCTCAAAGGAATGTGCAGTTAAAAATAATATTTGACAACATTATAAGCCCTTAAGAATTTTGACATACACATACTAAAATCTCCAGAGTAGCTCATTCATATGGTAACAATACATAACAAGCTTTGACTTGAACCAAAAGAGTCGCGTTTTGGGTTTTGAAGTATATGGTTTTTATTGATAGGATAAATGAATATATACAATACAAGAAATTACAACCATGGTCCCTAACAATAACAAATATTACAAGTACAATTATATTTCAACTCTCTCCCCTCAAGTTGGTGCATAGATATCGCGCATGCCCAACTTGGATAACATTGTATGAAATGGACCGCTAGCAACTCCATGTGTCATTACATCGGCCAATCGTTCTACCCTCTTGATATATGGAACCTCTATATTTTTGGAGTCGAGTTTATCTTTGATGTAGTTCCTATCAAATTCAACATGCTTTGTTCTATCATGTTGTACAGGGTTATTTGCGATTTTAATGGCGGCAGTGTTATCACAAAAAAGTAACATAGGCTTGTCCGGACCAAAGCCAAGTTCACTCAGGAGAAGTTTTAGCCATGTGAGCTCGGTAGTTGCATGATGCAATGCACGATATTCCGCCTCAGCACTGGATAATGAGACTACATTCTGTTTTTTACTCCTCCAAATCACAAGATTACCCCCAACAAATGATACATAACCTGATGTGGATTTTCTATCCAATCTCAATCCAGCAAAATCAGAATCCGTATAGCCCATAATATCTAGATGCCCCTCTTTTGAGTACAGAATACCCTTGCCTAGAGAGGACTTTAGATATGCCAATATCCGATTAACTGCACTCATATGCTGCTCACTGGGGTTATGCATGAATTGACTCACAACG